GAGAGGACTAGTATAGCTTAGGAACTAGGATTAGAACACGACCATATCAGCTACGCTGTATATAACTTACCATGTATAAATAAATATTATTATTATTATTATTATTATTATTATCTATATCATCTAGAGATGACAAAACCGTAAAAAAATTCTAGACCTGATATACACTTTAAGTAGAAATTGGATATCACGCGCCGTCGGGTCTCTGTCTCCAGTCTTATTTTCTTTAGTTTTCTGTGACATTATGGAATTATTCACAAAAAAAATTTCTTTTCAAGAACGAAATGTTGCCCYAGTTGGAGAGCGAGTTAGAGCTGTTGATATGGTATTTTATGGCAATAAGGACTTACATGTTGGAAAKACCYACRGGCTAAGGAGGCAGCCCAATAATCCAAAAGACAATAATTGTATAGAAATAATAGACAAGTTTAYGAAACCCAAGGCGGTAGTGAACCGTGATGTCGCTCTTATGCTATCTCAACTATTAGACAACGGAAAGCTGGAAAATGCCKAATGGTGAGTATGACTCACGATCACTTTTGAGAACTGGTCACTTCAGACAATAAGTTCAGTAATTGTGGTAATTATAACTAACATATGAATATTTGTTTCAAAATAGCGAGGTGCTTGATGAGGCAAAATGGAGCAAAGGGGATAGACRTGTACCAGCAAGGGCACACAAGATTAAAGTGACAGTAGCCGTTGCGACATCTCRCATTTCTGACAGTGATGTGAAAGCATTTATGGAAAATGTAAAATTGTCTTATCTAATAAACTAGCAGTGTTTATTCCAACTAATTCCATTTTAGATGTACGGGGTAGACCCTTAGGTATCAATGCCATGTATTTCATATTCGTATGCCATTTATTGGTTGTATTGGCAGTGAAAGCTTAATAAACGCGTTGTATTAACTTAAAGCTGCTCTGGGTCCTCACTTTAATAAGGTGTGCAGGATGTTTCCAGGGCTTGTAACTATGCACTGCCAACATGGTAATTATAG